AGAATGGTATAGCTACTCACTAATACATTCGGAGGAGACTTGCTAGCTGCTACCTGTACGTAGTGAACAATAATGGTTTAAGGTGCAATATAATATTAATGCAAAAATAACAAAAATGACTTAAAAAGTATAAAAATTTAAAACACCGCTGAGAATAGCACACACAAATATAATAATTGTGAAGAAAATGTGGTGATAGGGGCACACGAATGTAATAACGAAAATAAATAATTAGTTTGGCGATTTGCGCCCTCAATACAAAAAATTATAATTTTCGAGGTTTGAACACAAAGTAATAAAAATCACGAGTAGGTATACAACCAATGGTACGAAATAATATTTTACTGCTGATGTAAAAACAATAATTACACTTAAACTTAAATTGCTATAAAAAAAAATAAAAACATCTACGTAATAATAATAAAATAATAAAAAAAATAATAACACTGTATAATGTGTATTTTTGTGTATTTTCGTCTTTACTGCTCTTTACTCGTTGGGCGACAGATAATATTATAGGACGCTGGAACCAGTAAATTTTTGACAATATGGTAAGTGGAGGTGGAAAATAAAATACTTTTTTCAATACCTCTTGTGTCTATGATTATAAAGGCGGAAGATGTGAAACCTATATAAACTGCCACGAAAATAATTTGCCAATACATGTAAACATTACAATATAGCAGTATTGTCCTTCAAGTTTGGTAGGATTTTAAAATTTATGAAACTATTCATTAACTTATAGTACTGTCCGTATTATAATGATTAATGAGCATTATCACTTTTAAGTGTAGATGTCAATTACAAAATAAATATTTTAATTTCAAACTAGAATTTTATAGTTACAGAAAGCGTTCACAGAAAAATAATAATATTGAAGCTCAAGAATAATGCTCTAGAAAATAAAAAAACTTGTTGTTATATTCGTCTAAGTAGAGCTTTAAAAAGAGAGCAAATGATAGCTTTTCCCTCGCTATAAAACGTCATGGGGGGGGGAATTCCCGAATTTCCCTTCCCCTCTCAGAGTAACATTTGTCTTCGGTCCTAGGGTGACGAATAGTAGTGGTGGTGCGCTAAACAGTCATCATGGACAGTAATAATTTATAACAATAATGTATAACATTGCTTTTAATCAGATACCGCGAACAACTTGGCTGTCAGTATACCACCCGCTGGGTGTGGTCACCTGTAAGAGAAAGTGAGCAATTGGATGTAGGTGTTATTTGATTTTTTTGGAAAGGATTAGCTCGTTTGATGAGTTTCGGCGGGTTTTCCGAGGACTGTCGTTATAAGGATGTTTAGTGGTTTTACGTGCGACTGTCATCTCATGACAGAGTTGTCGACGTTCTTAAGTAGTACCTACCTAAGTGTCTGCCCGTAATTTGGGTTGCTTACATTCACGGGGGAGGAATAAGATTGGGAGTGTTTTCCCGAAACACAATACCTCAGGTCGTAAGTCCATGCAAAGTTTGGGCCCATAATTTATGCACTACTCATAACCGTGTTTGGACGCATATAATTCTGAGCCCATTGCCTAGAAGACACCTCCAGGTTAGTCTAAATAGCGTTCCAAAAAATATGTTTGCACTATAATTATTTGTAATTTTCACTATAGCAGTATTATTATTGTACTCGCAGTGAGTTGAGATAATAATTGATATTTTCTATTTATTTCGATGTGGTTAATTTATTAATTCCTGCAAAGCGTTGTGCTAATTTTTGTATAATTCAATGTATTTTTTTTCAACTTAATAATTTCTCCTACATTTTTGCATACAATTACATTTTTCTTCAGTAAGTACCTTGTACGACCTAACTAAGTAATAATTATTCTTAATTTATTTATTATTTTTCTTACAATGCTGTATGTTGTAAAAATGTTGAGGCCAAACGTGTTTACAAGTTTCAGGGAAATGTCTATAGGTACCTAAGGTACTTTGTTTATTTCCTACCTCTATGAGTTATGACGTTTTTAATGTACCATGTTTAGGCCATGTTAGTGTCGCATCTTGTTATCCCGTTAGCTTTAATGGATTAATATGTTTATTCAATATATTTTATTAAACCTATTAATCTGTTTCATACCACACGTCAAGTGTATTATACGACCTTTCCATATGCATTGCACCGAAGACCGAACTATACTCATTGTTGGTAGTGCTTTGTTTATTTTAGACCATATTTTGAAAACATTGGATTATTATTAGCTTAAATTTTATCGAACAGTTATGTTTATTGATTTATATAAAATATAGTACTATATAGTACTATAATACGTTCGTATGGTTTTAAGTCCATAATAATATATACAAAATAAACAATAGTCACTCAAAGCAATACATTTCCAGATTTAAACATAATATTATAATGAAACAAATCTATAAAAAAAGTTATATTATTACATAAAAATACAATTTAAAACTGACTGTTGGTATTCCATTTTCGTACGATTATTAATCAGAAAATACATTCAAAATCAAACTGATAAATCAAATTATTTTTTTTTCAATTTACAATATTATGCATAACAAAAACCTTTTTGACAAAATTGTTATTATTATACAATACCCAAAATAAGTTTATTGTAACAACGTTGTCGAAATCATTATTATAGATTAAATCAAATTGTATAGAAAAACTAAACTGAAAGATTATTTGATTATACTTTCGATGTTCGACGTTCAATATTTAAAATGGTTTTCTTTAACTCATGAATTATTGAACAAAAAAAACCTCCGAGAATGCCTGAATAAGTTGTGTAGGGCAGATATTGGGTAAACACGTGCTTACTTCAAAACAAAAACAAAAACATATTCTAATCAAATGATAGTATTTTCCGGTGAATTGATTAATTGTATAATTACTACATCCGTTATGAATAACACAATTATAATATATTTTAATTTTAATTTTAATATTAACTGAACTTCTGGTAACTTGCTTACTTAAAAATAAAATAATTACTGGTCAATCATTTTAATAGTTTTATGTAAATGAGTTATATATTTTATACTGAGTAACGAAACATCAAAATATTTTATAGATATTATAGTAATTAATAAACAGATATTTTGCACTTCAATCACATATCCGTTGTCACATAATTATATATTTGAAAATTGGATATATTTTAGTATTATTTTAATGTTTAACGATTTGCTATTGCATTTCAGTGCTATTTTCGAAAACCCTATCACTACCAAGACGTATCAACAATTTAAAATTGGTTTTTCAGACTGTATTAGTGTTTGCCAAATGCAAATGATGTAAATATAAACCACTTTATGAAAGTACCTACCACAAATCTGGTAAAGATAAGTACTCTTTTTAAAGTTCTAGTGTTTATTTTTGCTTTTAATTTTAATACCTCAACACAATACTTAAGCACATCCACCCGAGACACCTAACCAAACAGTGACCCACCCCATTTGAGGTCAAGTTTTTCTAAAATATACAACATACATGAATTGATATAAATAAAAGTATATAATACATTAACTATTATTAATTCCAATCTAAAATTTAAAATGTATTAAATAATATATATTGTGGAAAATCGGAAATCATGATCAATTATTTCTTCACACTGAAAAGTAGAATACAAAAAAAAAAAATGCAATGCTAATAATTTTCAGCTCTCAGTATAAGCGTCGAGACCAATTTGGTTTTTGGTATTATTTGTGTTCGATTCTTCAGGATACATTCAATATGGTTCTAAAAGTAAAAATGTTCTCTCACTTTGTAAATTATATAAGGGAAAACTAAAACATAATATGGAATACAAATGGAAAACATTTACATAACACAAAAACATTTTGTAATTTTATTGTAATCCAAAAATGAATAACTGTTTATAGGTAGGTACTTGAAGTTTTCATGAAAAGTTAATATTAGCATTTTTTATTGGCACAAAATATAATTATTTCCAAAATATTTTGACCTATTTTGACATTTAAAATTATTTTTTATAATCATGTTGATAAAATGTATGTTTGTTTAAAACATTTTGATATTTCAAAAAAAAAATTCATTCCTCTGAAGCTTTGTTTTATATAAATTAAAAATATTGAAAATAAATAGGAAATATTTTTTAAGAGCGTTTGTAATCAAAATGTTGATGAAATTTAATATTTAAAATGAAATAACGAATTCAGTTATAATTTTTTGTGATTTAAAAATATTAGGCATTAGTTGGCGCTTCAAACTTTCACCACACGTATATTGTTATTTACTAAATACAATGACTTTACTAAAATATTTAGGTTATTAATTAATCTATACACTGAACTTTCTATATTATTATACTACGAATCTATAGACACCGATCTACGGGGTACGCGTCGGTGTTTTAAATTATAAGTTAATAACAGCTAGAGTAATATTACATGAATTACCTACTAATATTAATGCATAATATAGCGAATCATCTATATAACGAAGCCTCCGGAACACCCACAAAATTCGTACAGTAGAGAATTTCATTAAATAAATGTAGTTCTATTTTGGTTTGGTTTTCACAAATATTTTGTTAAACAGAAAATGTTGTCAACTATAGAAGTTCGTTAAGCGGAAGTTTCATTGTATAATAAAATGTCCTTAGAAATAAGGAGGCTGACGGCCTGTCTCCGTTTATTTTTTGTATTTCGTCCCAAATATAATAATAATGTACAACGTTATCATGATATAATTGAACCTGTTTCAGGTGCACGGCGGAGTCCGAGCAGTGGCGATCCAAGGCGAGGAATCGGAGAAACGTAAAAAACTCTAAAAAAAATCCAAAAATCTCAAAAAACATAAAAAAATACCTAGCGCATAACCGGGACCGGGCCTAGGCGTATATTCGGTTGTCCGGCGTCGCATACGACGTCGGCGGCGGCGTCGGAGGTGGCGGCGGCGAGACGGCCACTGCGACGGCGACGGCGGCGACGATGAGGCGCGCCACCAGCAGCGTTTTCACTTGTAGTCGGCCGGAGAGTAGTGCGTAGCACGCGTCTGCGGCCATGCAAGCGGGTGGCGTGACGGCGGCGCCCGCGCCGGCACCTCCCAATGGGTACGGAACACAGCAGCAACAGCAACAGCAACAGCAGCAGCAGCAACAGATGTTGTTGCAGCAGCACCACCAGCAGCAGTTGTCCAACAACTCGCCGGCGTCGACGGCGGCCACCGGCACGGCCACCACCAACAAGATACTGATAAACGGCGGCCGTTTTGACTTCGACGACGGCGGCACGTACTGTGGTGGCTGGGAGGACGGCAAGGCGCACGGGCACGGCGTGTGCACCGGCCCTAAAGGCCAGGGAGCGTACTCGGGATCTTGGCACTATGGTTTCGAGGTGTCCGGCGTTTACATGTGGCCCAGGTAAGTCGAGTGTGCCACCTCCGGGTTTTCTATCGATGATATTCATGACAATTCTATTGGAAAAGGTTGGGGAGGAGCTTGGGATCCAAAACGAGTGGCGGTGAGGGTCAGGGAGATGGTTTCGAAGTGTCTGGCGTCTACATGTGGCCCAGGTGTGTCGAGTGTGCCCCCTCAGGGTTTTTTATCGATGATATTCATGACAATTCTATTGGAAAAGGTTGGGGAGGAACTTGGGATCCAAAACGAGTGATGGTGAGGGTCAGGGAGCTTACTCGGGATCTTGGCACTATGGTTTAGAGGTATCCGGTCTACATGTGGCGAAGGTACGAGGTGTGTCGAGTGTGCTGCCTCCTAGTTTGTTTCGATGATATTAACGACAAGTCTATTGGAGCGGTGAAGTCGTGGTAATTCCCCCCCTCACACACACACACTCATAAACAGTCTTTATGGGCGTGATTAGAAATAACCAGTCTCAGCAGGTCCTGTAGAATCAGAGTTGGAGCCATAGGAGCTAAAAATAAATTGCCATTAAAAATTAATCCTCAAAAATTAAATGTTACCATACAATATTAAATAAGTAAAACACGATTTTTCTACAGTTCATTCATTAATCTTACTGTCCCTATTATCACTCTTTAGTAAGACCTATGGCTAGGTCACTGAGTATATATTTTGTCACTAGGTCGATTAAATACAATGTTGACAACTCATCTAGCTGCGTATTATCCGACTTCACAAAAGAACGATTATTGCCATATTTTTTCGAATTTAAAGAATTTTATTTTACTTGGCAGATGGCGCCATTAGTGTATTCCTATTCTATCGCTTAATATTCCATGGGCAAGAGTTGGCCCCATAAAACTATGCTTCTAACCTGCCCTGTAGTGCGCTCTTTAAATTTAAAATTAACCTCGTTTGAGTACGTTCGTGATTTTCCAGATTAACTAGGACATAAAAAAAGGCACGTTGTCATATATACACAATATTCTGTGGACAGGAGTTGGATCCATAAAACTATGTTTATAACAGGCCCTGTAGTGTGCTTTTTAAATTGAAATAAAATCCATTCGAATCCCTACTTGTGGTTTCCGAGATTATCCCGGAGATAAAAAAAAGGCATTTTGTTTTGTTTTATATTATATATTAATTACCATTATACATATTTCACGAATGGCAAAGTTCTACTTTGCAAGGACTTATTTAAAATGCCAAAGCTCAAGGGGAAAGGGATAAGGACTAGTATTGGGAGGCTAAATCCATCTCGTTTGTTTTACCTATTTTATTTTTTTTAAACATTTGTGAAGGCTAAGAAAAAGCCAATTTTTCCAAAATTGATAATTCAATGTTTTTGTTATGGCCACGACGGCGTACTAGGTATTATTATTATTTTTGTCCAACCAGTTTTCCATCACATTCCATCAATACCAAATAGTTATTTAATAAAAATAATGTGTTATATGAATACTATAGACAATAATGTACCTAATAATTATTAATTACTAAGTATTATTTACATAAAATAGTTTTTTAATATAAATATGTTTTTAGACTGGTTACAGATATTTTATTTTCCAACCGATTTTTCGTAGGTAACGCTTTGTATACTAATTGTTACTATAGAAACCAATAAAACGTAAAATTTATCTAATTTCCACTATGTTTAAATACAATTAATGGTTACTTATTAATACATATTTATGATTACTCGAAGTGGAAAATATCAATGAGCGTGCTACGTTTATGTCATAAGATCATCATCACAACTAATTAATTTTTTCCATATCTTATTACTTTTGTTTAAAATTCTTATCTTTATATTTGATTGATATTAACTAAGGTTTCTATATTCTATATAATATTATATAACTATACTGTACTATATATTATATTATATCTAACTATACTATACTATATATTATATTATATCTAACTATATAAACGTGAAATGAAAATCTCTCTACAGGGTAAACTCTGGAACTACAGATCAGATCTTCTTGATTTTTTTTTAAACGAAAGAGTATATCACGGAATAGGTTTCTATTTAAAATAATTTTAAGAAAGTCTACCCGAAAAGTAGGAAATCTAGATGTCAAAAATACAATAGTGGTGACATCTGTCCAGAAAATATAAACTAAAAATTTAGTTTATTGTTGCAGATTAAAATAATAATAGTGTATTTTATATTGGTATAATCGGGCATATTTGTTGTTTTTTATTATTACTTTTTTGTCAATATATATATATATATAAATGAATGTTTGTGAAAAATTAAAGAAGATAGGTTAATTTAAAAAGGGTTGCATTTGGTTTTTTTTTATTCATCGGATTTTAGTATGGTTAGGTTAGGTTAGGATTTTATATCAATTGATTATATTAATGCACCTTAGGTGGTATTAAGTAAAAATGACAAACTTGGTATAACTTTGGTACTCTAGAGTTAAATCAAAAAAGCCGCAGGTAGATTTCCTACCTGATAATATACCTACTGCTGCGACCTAGAATTTTTATTCCGGGCAACGGAAAAGTTAAGATAAGTTTTGAACACCATACACTGAATATTAAATAGCGAATTTATGTTATTCTTAATTGCTCTGATTTGAAAAAAAAGACTTCCCAAGCGATCTTAAATATAGTTCCCAAGCAATATTAGCTATATATTAGAATTCAGATCGTCTGTCAAGTCAGAGTTGTTATGGTGTCGCACATTGTCCGTGATGCGACGTAGTCAGACTATTTACCGGGGTGGCTCTTACTGCAGCGAGTTACACCCAAAAGGAGTTGAACAATCACAATCAAATTTTGTAACAGTTGACATTTTTTACGGGCAACGAAGTGTAAGATTTATTATAATAAATTAGAAAAAATATGGCATATATATTTATTAAAAATACAAATCTTTGGCCTGGTCAACGTCGGGCAAGACAGCTAGTCTACAATAACTTCCAAACCTAATAATTATTATTACATACTCGTATTATTTATGTATAGGGCACGATCCTTGTTCACACGAAAATTGTTTGCACTATTTCACCAAAAAATACTTAAAAATACTGTATAAAACGGTAATTTAACATGAATTTAACGTTTTGATTTTAAATTGTTGCACCATTGAACCTTGTACAGTTGTTGAGAAATTTGTTTTTACGAGTACTTTGCACGTGAGTAAACAATTTTACCCTGCCCGTTTATTCTTAATATTCAGATCACTACAATTTGAACATTACACACTTTCGCTTGCAGAAAAATTTAAAAGTTTCATAAATTGCATTTTCGTATTCAACTATAATAAAATACATTCAAATTGCATACAAAATATTATAAACACCCGACCTTTTTTTAATTTCACTTGAAACTTTTTAAAGTACTTACATTTTTACATTTCAAGAATCACATTTATAACTTTCTAAACGAGAAATCATAGTTTCATAAAAAAACTTGCAAGTCCCATAAAGTCTGAGCCCTATTAATAACCTAACGTAACAATAACAATAACAATCGGCGTTTGGAAGTTATTTCTTACGATGGGATGCGGCTACATAAAAATAATAATAAAAAAAAACTCACTTCCATAATTGCCACTTTTGTGAGACTTTGTGTACACAGAATAATAATATTGTCAGGCCAAGTTACAAAGGCAAACTTTGAGCACAACGGTGTAATCTCACAATGTCCACTAAAAAGTATAATTTTTTCTTACACATTTTTAGTTTCTCATATGGTAGTTACGTCATTTCTGTATTTTGTTTAATATTGTAAACATTTTTAAATTTAGAATGAATTTTTTTTATGGGATCAAATAGAAACATTTAATTAGTTACATTATTGAAGTATTTGTGAACAGTATCGCGAAGTTCAATGAATCAATGTAAGAAGGTATCGACATTTTCACTTTATAGACAATGTAAGATTGTCGTGGCGGTTCGTTTTTGATAAACCTTACAACTATTGAAAAAATACAGTAGCTTATTGTGCATAGTTTCAAAAAAATTCGCACTTTCTGCATAGCTTAAAAAAAAAAAAAAATTGGAGCACTATTTCAAATTGCCTACGATTGATAACAATAAACATAGTAAGGGATTCTCAGAAGTGATGTATTTAAATATAATACTTTTAAATTATATTAAACATTGTATCGGCAGCTGTTGAATAATAATTTTAATATTTGACAGTTCCATCATAAAAAAAATGTGTATAATAAAGTTTATTATTGGAATTTATATTATTTTATTAAATGAAAAGTCTGTAGGACGTACTATTATAATTAAAAAGTTAATAATATTCTAATTTTTGATATACCTATTCTTTTACAGATTACGATTTTATAGTTATTAGCTATTACATAATATTATATTACTACTTTATTCATTATAAATAGGTAAAATATCCATAGGAATTTGGAACCGAAAAAAACTAAAAACCTCTCCATCAAAATATAGGTTTCGGTTTGTGTTTAAAACAAAAAAAAATGTTCATGGGTTTCGGTCCCAAGATTTTCAAAAAGTTACTTTCCAAAACAGGTTTTTTTATACTCGAGGTTCCAGTCTCTTTAAATCTTAATGTTCATCAATCTAACCAAACAATATTTGTTACAAATTTACCATAATATTAAAGATAATGTACTGGCAGAAGCTCTAAACCTTAATTACTTAATAGCCTAAATTATTGGGTTTTGGGAGGTTTGTTACTAATACAGTAAACTGTAACCTAAAAAATAATGTTTTGTGGAGCAGAAATAATTTTCATAGAATTAAAATTGGCTGGTATAAACATAATTTATGCGTTTTAAATTATTTTTATGAAAAATCTGGATTATTGTGGAATAGTTTACTGCTATGGTGAATGCGTCCAGAGTTCTGTTTATGGCCTTAAATAATCATAACCAGAACGAAGGAAATTTCCTACCAAAATAACACCAGTTCCAAGTATCACATTAATTTTATTTTAGTAACAAAAATTATGAATATTGTGTAATATTTGTTATAAACTATCAAAAACACTAA